AATGGATATATATATAATTGAGGAATCGCAGTCGAATCCATCACATTCTTACTAGAATTTAATATCCTTGGGAAGGGTGATCCTCTTCTCCCTCCAGCTATGGGTAAATAGCAGAACAGACTGGGTTCTATAGCCTTGGATGGCAAAACTGGTCTAGGGAGAAAGACAACTCTGAATTCAAAACCTGCGGAGGGTCGTTTGGGGACCTTGTGGCATGTAATGCACCAGGTCTCTATAATATTTGCCCTTCAAAAAAAGTGTGAATTGTCCTGCAAAAACATATATATATATATATATTTTATGTATGGGATAATCTAATGCTCAATTGTTCAGAGATAGATAGAACTTAAATACAGTTGAGAAAGATATGAATGTGGGTTGTTTTCCTCTGTTAATTCACCCCAAACGTAAAGTTACTTATCACAAATATTGATTCACCCCAAGAAATCATAAATTTTAAATCAAAGTTTGTTCTTTTTTTCTTTTGATAATGTGCGCCAGATAGAAAAGCCTCTACATTATCGTACAACATTTTGAAGCTCTACTTTACCTAGGACAACGATTATCTCGTATTGTTGGAAAAGATTATACACATTTGATTGATTTGGTTTATTTTGTTTTCGGTATATCAACCTCAATGGGTTATTTAATGCCGACAACATTTTGTATTGCTGTTAATATTTTGTTTTGTCAAAAATCTGTTCCATCATATTTTTCATTCAAAATTGTATTGCTGTTAATAATCTTTTTCAAAAAAAGTATTGCTGGTAATAGTTAATTATTTGCCCATAGCTGGGACCCTAACAGGTGCTACCACCTTGGGTCAGGGTCGACGTGGGAACAACAGTAATTAAGAGGTGGTTCCATGATCCTCAAAACCTCCTGATCAGAGGCCTTGCTGCTGGATGTAGTTTATCGTCTTACCCAGGAAGCGGCTGTCGTTTAACGCCTTACCCAGGATGAATAGATCTTTGAAGGATCATCCCAATTATATTCATCTGACTGTAAATCTGTTATACCGGAACGTACCTATTTCTATTGTAAATAGACTCTCCCACAGATAATAATTAGTAGTATTAGCAGTCGTCAGAAAAGCTCAGTGAGTTAGTCTGAGTTCAGTCTGAAGTCGGGCGACCGGCTAAACTCTCTGCCTTCGGGCGGGGAGGAACCCGAACGAGGCTACGCCAAAGGGCGGGGGCTCTTTCGGGGAGGTAAACCGACCCTGAACACGTTTATACGGGTTTTAAAAGGGCATATTTTTGGCCGAGTCCACGGGCTCGGAGATCTCACGTTAAACCGGCCTTGTGACAAATGATGGCCTCGTTGGTGGGGGGGGGGTGACTGAATATCGCTCAGTGAGATGTGTGAGTCAGTCGATGTCGGACATTGAAGTATCAATCCACCACAACTAAATTGCTGCTACATTAACTATTATTTCAAGTTCCTAACGTTTTGTACGTCGAACCTATTTTAGGACCGACTTAGTGAAATACAAGCCTCCACTGTGAAAACTACTCTACAACAAAATCACAGTATGAATTTCTTTAATCCATAAACATCAACTCACACGCAAACAATTGAAAGTATCTGTCAGAAGGGCAAAATGAAGAACAAGTGAGTTCCTGTGGAGGTGTAAGATGTAAAAAAATAAAGATGAAGGCAATTTTAACAAATGTTAAAGGACATTTCTGAATTTTAGTGTGAATTCTAGTAAATATAAATTACTTTTATTTTGGGGTGAATTAACAGAGAAGATCAGAATCCGACGATTCTCTCTCCAGTTGTGCCTCCTGCAATCAGTCTACCCCAAAATGTATCTGTAGAGGAAAGTGTGCTGAGATTCTTCTGCCAGGTGAGTCATGAATCTGAAAGTGAAATCATCGCCCAAACTGCATCGGGCATGTCACCTGAGGAAGGACATCAAGGAAAAAAGATTTTTTAAATCAATTTTCCCGTTTAATATTCATGAGTCATTAAAAAAAATCCCCGATTTCATAAAACCCATTATACTCCGATTAACCGCTTAGTCTCAGGTATAACGTATTGACTGTATAGATGTTTCTCTACGCGTGTAGGTAAGCATAGAATTCAGGTGAGTACGTCATAAAAAAAAAAACAAAAAAAAAAAAAAAACAATGGAACCAACGATTTGATATTTGTTTTTATTTTTTATTTTTTCCAAAGAGATGACTGACTTCCCATGATCTGTCCTTTGTAATGACGGAATAATAAATCTGTTTATGGTGCAGACGGCGAGCGCGGGTGGTGGGAGGGAATAACGAAAGGAGAGATTCTTGTAAAAGACCGCAAATTTTGATTCTACAGACCAAACGGATGACGTCAGGCGTACCGAACCAAACAACTTATCCATTTTTGACAAAAGCAGATTTAGCAATAAAGCTTATTCTGCTCATTTCGTGTTTGTGCAAATCTGCTCTTTATAGATCTGCGTTTTTCGCCTTTACTTTGCTCGGCAAAGCTTCTTAGCAAACAAGAATCTGACGATGTTAATCTATGTAGCGATAGCTGGGTGTGTGTGTGTGTGTATATATATTAGTTATATATATTATATATATGTTTAAGACATATTTATATACATAGATATCTATATATATATTAGTCATATATATTATATACATGTTTAACAACATATTTATATACATAGATATTTATATATATATATTAGTCATATATATTATATACATATTTAAGACATATTTATATACATAAATATCTATATATATATATATTAGTCTATATTATATATATATCCTTTATATATATATTTATATACATAGATATCTATATATATATTAGTCATATATTATATATATGTTTCTTGATTTATATATATATATATATATATATATATATATATATATATATATATACAACCAAAGAGAGAGAGAGAGAGAGATATCTATTTTAGATATATATATCTGTTATTATATATATATATATATATTTAAAATATATATATATCTACATGTATATATATATATATATATATTAGATATATATACATATTACAAACATAAATGGATATATACTATACACACACATATGTTATGCATATATATATATTTTCTTACGCAGATATATATGTATATTAGACACATATATATATATATTACGCAGATATATATGTATATTAGACACACACATATATATATATATATATATACGTCATAGATATATATATATATATTAGACACACACATATATATATTACGTAGATATATATATATATTAGACACACATATATATATATATTATATAGATATATATGTATATTAGACACACACATATATATATATATACATAGCAGATATATATGTATATTAGACACACACACACATATATTATATATATATATTATGGGAATATATATAATATTAGACACACACACATATATATATATATTACATGCAGATATATATGTATATTAGACACACATATATATATATATATATATTACGCATGATATATATGTATATTAGACACACACATATATATATATTACGCAGATATATATGTATATTAGACACACACACACATATATATATATATATATTACGCAGATATATATGTATATTGGACACACACACACACATATATATATATATTACGCAGATATATATGTATATTAGACACACACACATATATATATATAACGCAGATATATATGTATATTAGAGACACACACATATATATATATATATACGCAGATATATATGTATATTAGACACACACACACACATATATATATATATAACGCAGATATATATGTATATTAGACACACACACACACACACACACACACACACACATATATATATATATATATATAGTTCATATCGACCTATCTCTCGATCGATCAAACAAACAAACAATGCATTTATATATTCTCGCTCTCTTCATAACTATCCTTCAGCTTACTACAATTTCTTGCTACAAATCGATGTTTGTTGATGCTAATCTACACATATCTATTCATGCTGATTATCCAACTTCATTATATATCTGTCTATGCTCATATCTATCTTCATATCTACCTATGTTCATTATGTATCTATCTTTATTAGCTATCTATTTATGTTCATTGTCTATCTTCATTATCTGTTTCTAAAAATTAACGGGAATGCTATCACAAGCAATTTATTTAAATTCGAAACGACTGCATAGTTTCCTCGTCAAGTTATCCCCCCTCGTGTCTAATGCATTTCTCCATTGTTCTCGGCTACGTTCCTATGCACTCATGGAAGGATTCTTCTTGGATGCCCCCTCCCACCCACTCAGCTCCGTCGTTACGGTTCTCTTCATAGCCTGCGCGACTTGAAAACCGATTATCCCTTTGTGTTTGGAGAAAAGAAATAATGTCCCAGGTAGCAAGATCAGGGAAATAGGGAGTTTGTTCTTCTCGGCCTGGAACTGTCGGATGCTCAGGGCATTGGGAGCAGGTGCATTGCCGTGGTAACGCAGCCACGATTTGGCCTGCCACAAGTTTCGTCTCCTCTCGCCCACTGAGCGAAGTAAAGGCAATGGGATCTCTTACTTGCTATTTGATCATTTGTCCCTGTGACAAGAACTCCCTTTGTTCGATGCTCTTAGCTCACACAACACATCCAGTTCTGTTACTTTTTATACAGTCCTCGTATATTCAATATCTGTCTGTCTATTGCACAGAGAAAGTAAGAGAGGAGAGAGGGAGCGGGGGGACTGGAACGGGTTTCCGTTCTTGTACATGTTTATTTCAAAATGGCATTGAAACCTAATGTACCCACCTAGTTAAAAAAAAACAATTTCGTGCATTTACTTTTTGCAAGGCAAATACGTCCACATCCATTTAACAAAATTATACATGTTCGAAAAACGGTACTTAAATTCCATTGCCTATTATACTGATCAGCCAAAACCTCAGAGTTGTAAAATATAAAAGATAGGCCATGTCCTTAAAAACTTGGGACCAACTTCAATCTTCCTAAATTCATTTCATTCTCATGGTTTCGTGCCATACTAGACGTTAATTTTTTTTATCTATCTCAATATTAGACTGTCTATCTATCTCTTCCAGTTTGTTCTCATCTATCTATCTCTTCCATCTATCTATCTATCTATCTCTTCCAGTTTGTTCTCATCTATCTATCTATCTATCTCTTCCATCTATCTATCTATCTCTTCCAGTTTGTTCTCATCTATCTATCTATCTCTTTCAGTTTGTTCTCATCTATCTATCTATCTCTTCCATCTATCTATCTATCTATCTATCTCTCTCTTCCAGTTTGTTCTCATCTATCTATCTATCTATCTCTTCCATCTATCTATCTATCTATCTATCTTCCATCTATCTATCTATCTAATCTCTTTTCCATCTATCTATCTATCTATCTATCTCTTTTCTATCTATCTATCTCTTCCAGTTTCTATCATCTATCTATCTATCTATCTATTTCCATCTATCTATCTATCTATCTATCTCTCTCTTCCAGTTTGTTCTTTATCTATCTATCTTTTCAGTTTGTTCTTCTTCTATCATCTATCTCTTCCATCTATCTATCTATCTATCTAAGGGTGAATTCATCTATCTATCTCTTCCAGTTTGTTCTCATCTATCTATCTCTTCCAGTTTGTTCTCATCTATCTATCTATCTATCTCTTCCAGTTTGTTCTCATCTATCTATCCAGTTTGTTCTCATCTATCTATCTCTTTTCTCATCTATCTATATCTATCTCAGTTTGTTATCATCTATCTATCTATTTATCTATCTCAGTTTGTTATCATCTATCTATTTATCTATCTCAGATTGATAGATAGATGAGAACAAACTATCTATCTCTCTATCCCAGTTTGTTCTCATCTATGTATCCATCCATTTATCTCAGTTTGTTGTCATCTATCTATCGTGGGATGGATGGATATCTGTTCAGAATGAGAACCTACAGAGCCGAGTTTGAATTCCATTCACTTACTCAATTACGCTCAAATACCCTTGGGAAAGGTATAAATGCTTCTGTTCTCTCACAGATATGGGTTAAATAGCAGGAGAGACTGGATTCTTTCGCCTTGATGGGCAACCAGTCTACCGCAGAAACAAATGGCAACCACCTGTGGGAAAAAATCTTCTGCCTTTTCAGTCATGCATCAAAAGTGTGTCACGTGTAGCAGTTCAATGACTGAGCTATTTATCCATCAATCCACCCATCCCAGTTTGTTTTTTCATGTATCTATCTCTCAAGATACGTCTCTTAATTTTAACATCGCCTGAACAATTACTTATATATTCAGTATACCTATCGGATATATTCTGATGAACTAATGTCACTATCCATATTTAAAAACTTTATATTGACGAATATTGCCGTGCTACATCTTATTCGTCTATCTTACTTCGGGATATATATATATATATATATATATATATATATATATCAACCGAGCAGCTTATAAGTTAGATATATTCGTAAATGAATATCTCCTCTAATACATCCGGCGTAATTCTCTTGTTTCTAAACATGCACGCGTAATTCATTTAAGCCTGTCATTTTCCATACATTTGACATCTTATCTAAAAGCCTTTTTAAATCTCTAACATCTTTCTTCTATTTATTCTTAATTTATATCTCTGCCAATATATTTCATATATACATCAGTTATATTGGGTCTTTAAAGAGTTCGTTCACTTATTAAGTAAAAAATATACTTAATAAAACATAACGCAATTTTTTGACCAACGATATATATATATATATATATATATATATATATATATATATAGATAGTAAGGTAATGAAGTACTTGGGAATCGGTGCAGCTAATTGCAAAGAGGAGAAATCAGAATGAGTTCAATGCAACAACAGACCAAATATTAATTTAATAATTAAGAAAGGGACAACCTTAAGTTTTCCTGACTGTAATTTATTTCCCCGGAAAATATATTTTTCCTAGTTCATCAGGTCTCATCTCTATTTCTAAAGAAGGGAATTTGCCTGGATTTGTAACCAGCTCTCATGACATGATGAACCAGGAAAAAATATATTTTCTGGGAAAATAAATTATAATCATTGAACCTTACAATTGTCTCTTTTCAATAAATATTTAGTTAATTGATATATATATATATATATATATATATATATATATATATATGGGTTTCTTTATGGAGCACTCTTCTTAAAAATAAAAATACTAAGGAACCCCGGAGTTATACCCAACGATTGTTCTTTTCTACTTTTCTGCATACCTAAGAAATTTTTAATATATATATATATATATATATATATATATATATATATATGGTACCACACAGAGAGTGCTGGTGGGCAAATAAAAGTGTGCTCGGTGTAACGCAACAGAGCTAAAATTTATAGCACGACCTTGATAAAATCCAAAGCAGAATCAGCAATATTATTAGCCCTGACCTGGTGGCTCGGCTTCAGTCACTTTTCCATGCTCTCAAGGTTGTCTGTGTTTTTTCTATAAATATTTTCATGGTAATTGTTTGGATAAGCTTTTCACTATTGTACCTAAACTTTATGAATTTAAGCTGGCTAGATGTAGCCGTAAGTTCTATGCTAACAGTTTCTTTTCTCGCAGATCTTGCTTTTTGGACCTCCCTCCCGGCTCAGTGTTTTCCAGCTATCTTTAATATGCAAAAGCTTAAATGCAATGTCAATCGTTATCTTCTGATCTCTTGATTACTCTTTCCTCTTCCCGCTCATTAGTATCGTTTCTCTTTCTAATTCTCTCACACCTTGTGTAACTCCTTGAGTCTTAGTGGCTTTATTACCGTGCATAGGGTTATACCGATTAAACAAAATGTTCCGCAAATCTGGCTTTCGTATGACCGTAGCAATTTTCACGCCTCTTTGAGCCTGAAACTCAGAGATTCACCAAACGTCGAGGAACAAATCTTCACGATGTCCCCAAAAGTCTGGAGCCAAAAATGCATATTCAGGAGAAATTAAATTTTCGACAATTTATCGGACTGAAATATTAAGAAATAACATATTAATTATGATTTCCATCATTTGTGATACAGAGGGTGATGCACTTTACAAGATTCACGTAAACTTGATGCAATAATTCCACATTGCCATCAATTTTAGCACATTCCCTCTTTATGCATTCAATCAAGTGTGCTGCATCTGTGATTTTCAGAGTACAATTTCTCTTTTAGCATACCCCAGAAGAAGTCAAGTTCAATTCATTCTTCTTTTGGCAAAACCTTGTTTAATCTGTCGAGGTAAAAAATATAGTTAATGAGATTCCCTATGTGTTCAGACTTTAGGGACATCTTGTAGAATCACAAAGAACTTTACCAAATACCAGAAACCATTCAATTTAAGCAACAACTACAATGGATATCACCTGAAGCAATAACTTGAAGAGCAAATAATGGTATAATCAAGGTATTAGAAAGCCTTCTAGTCTACTTCAAATACTCTGATTTGTATGGAGTACACTTCTTTAGAATATCCCAGAAAAAGAAATCATATTTCGACAAAACCATTTTTAATCTGGGGAGGTAAAAATAATATAGTTAATGATATTTTATATGTTTTCAGATTTTACAGGTACCTGTATATTCATTATTAGTGAATGCATGCATATATATATATATATATATATATATATATATATTTAGCGGCAGCAGATTTGGGTTTGATAGAAGAACAGATAAATATTTATTTTGAGGATATTGTTTTTAATAAAATTTTCTTAAGTGCTTTAAATTATTTTTTCAGTCGGTGTAGGTCTTTTCCTGACTCTAGAGCTTTCCTTTCAAGTTAAAGAATGTTCTATTTGAATTTCTGCGATGAGAATTTATCATTATCTACATTCGGATAATATTATTATTATTGTTATTATCACTGTTTCGGCCGTTGTATACTCCAGCCTTTTTTATGACTTTTAGGGAATTTCGAAATGTGCTAGAATCAACTGTAGGAAAACAAATCTAATAGAATGATTAATTCTGAAAATTAATATTTCAATGGCGTTCACCCCAACCCACAGAGAGTTATATATATATATATATATATATATATATATATATATATATATATATATATGTGTATATTAGTAACACTAGAGAAACTGGCTTACCTGCGGGTTGAAAACGGATTCAGACGTGTCTCACATATAAAATATTTCCAAAAAGAAAATGGCGGCTTTACGGGACATATATTTAAAACGGATAGATCTCGAAGTCGTATAGACTTTCGCGAAAATCTCTGTTAACATATGCAAATTTTAACTGTTATTCAATCCATAAAAAGTGCTCAAAGAAGCGACACAGAGAAGTGTGACTAACGTAGCGAATAGGGGGCAAGTGTTGTTGGAATGTTTGACCCAAGTTCAAATCGCTACTCCGTTGGTAGACAGAAACGGATTCCGGACATTTATTACGAGCCAGGAGAAACTACACACACACACTTAGCATCGTTACCATAGCAACCGTCTTGGTTCTTTTTGATCTGACCGCACATATATAATAACGGGAAATAGAATTGTAATACGATGTCGATATTTATATTTTATAATTATTTATGTACTAGTTTTGTTTGACGGATTCAAAAACGACGCAGGATAAAGTGTGTTGACTACATCGAATGAGATTTTATATATATATATATATATATATATATATATATATATATATATATATATAGAACAGAGCTTACTTTTAACTCAATTTAATTCAAATAATTATATTGAATTTTTCGGCTCGTTTTGAAACATGAGACCTCTTATGTCGCGAATTGAAATCATATTTTTAAAAAATAATTATATTTATGCTCTACTTTTGTATCGAGCACTATTTTTAAAAATAATAACTAAAATGCTAAGGAACTTTGGATTATTTACCTAACCAGTTCCTTCCTATTTTCTATATATTTTCACATTATATATATATGGTCAGTATATATACATATGTATATATTATCATATATGGCCAGTATATATATATGTGTGTGTGTGTGTGCGTAATCGTATATGGTCAGTATATATACATATATATTTATCTATATATACAAATGTATATATAATCGTATATGGTCAGTATATATGCATATGTATATATAATCGTATATGGTCAGTATATATGCATATGTATATATAATCGTATATGGTCAGTATATATATATATATACGTATATATAATCGTATATGGTCAGTATATATATATATATATATATATATACACACACACACATACGTATATATAATCGTATATGGTCAGTCTATATATATATATATATACATACGTATATATAATCGTATATGGTCAGTATATATACTTGTGTTGAGCACACATACATATAGAGAGTGATTTAAAGAGAGATAGAAAGAGTTAGGTAACATTTGTAATTTTTTTAGTCCCTGCAGCTTGAAAAGTATCCATTGCATGCATTTGTCTCAACTATAATGAGACGTGACATTTCAAATGCAGGGATAACCGCATTGTTCGGTTAGTCAGTCAGGCAAAAATCTGTACCTCTGCACGCCTGGGTATTTTACAATTTCTGCAGTGTGAGAAGACTGCCTAGCAGTAGAGGAAGTTGCACGTGATTATTTTGAACTATTGGCAGAAAATGAGTACACTGGAGCAGCTGATTAAAAAGTAAGCTTGTGTGAAGATTGATTGAAAGTGCTTGTTATAATGTTATACTGGTGAAAATATCTCATAGTTTAAATGAGGAAATCGGGTATTTTGTGTGTCACATCTTGTTCGCAAAAGGGTGAGAAGATGTAAACGATGATTCTAGAAGTGAGCAGCCAGAATGACAAACAGAGTGCGAACTGT